CCACGTGTGGGGCTAAGAGCTTCACAAGAGATGGCTTTGTACAGCTGCTTTTCAATTTGATACTTCCCTGTGGATTTACCGGTTGCAAATAAGTCCATTTATTTGCTGGCCTCCATCCCGAGGGCCTACTGGCTGACCTGAGAGAACAATGGCAAGAGGCTCAGGTGCTTTGGTGGCCTCCAGTTTGAAGCTTGGAGGATTTACATGTGGACAGCTGTGTGTAACATCTTCTGCATATGGGGGAGATCAGCACACCCCCAGAGAATAATGACCAGAACTAGAAGAACAATGAAGAAAAATGACAGGTGCCTGGGAGGGAACCAGCAGGCTGTGCCTCTGGTAAGTAACTCCCAGAAGGACTCTTAGAAGAGACTTACTGGTTTAATTGAGTCAATCCATCATCTCTGGGTGACAGCATCAGCTTGCAATCTTTTTTGGGAGTTGTTTGAATCCTCTGCTGTTACAGTTGAGATTCATAGGAGGGTGGAATGAGCAGGTAACAAATACACCTGTCTTATTAAAGTGCCACATTATTAAGATAAGTCATAAGAGAACTTTATGTTAATTACAATAATTATATAGCCTGTGTAGGAGCATCAACATGTGGCTTGTAAGATAATTTTTTCCTCTCCAAATTAATCTTGTAGGCATCACCTTTTATTATCTGTCAAAATTTTAAGCTTATTTCTCCTAAACACCAGAATATCTAAAATATTTTTGAGAATGACCTGTACTATTATTCTAGAGAATATAAAACTACCTGTCTTTAACTGTTTTAGGAGGGCCTCTCACCTTTGTTTTCTCTCTGCTGTCATTAACAATCATTATTCATAACACCGATACAAATTTCACTAGTACTGTAAATGTGATCCTTCAAGCGTTACCTAGTGCAAATGTTTGTGGAATTAAAAGGCATAGAATAAGAACATCAACATTTATTTTAGAGATTTTTCTCCTTACATCTATGGAAAGTGATTATTTCAGTGCACTATTGGACACAGTACATTGGTCATAGATTTTGCTCTTTCCTTTTTTGAGAGTGTGAGGAAGGTAGGTAAAATAAAATGTGCATTCGACACGGATCCTAAGCAAGGAATGACATATGATGACAATAATTGAGGCTTTATTTTGGTTTTTTTTACAATGTAAAATATTGGTAGCACAAGTCCCTGAGTATGGGTATTGAGTACTGAAATTTTATTGAAGACCATTCAATGTCTGAAGAAAGATTTTTGGGATGAATATAGGAAGAACTCAAGATTTACTGCTTAAGAAATCCTAATCTCTCAGATGAGAAGTGTAATTGCAAAATAAGTGATGGAAAAACCTAACCTTAAAATGAACGTGATTGGCTGAATAATACACAAGAACACCTCACATAGGCATGTTTACCTGTGGGCACAGATAATTCATTTTTTAAAGGAAATATTTTATCATGGAAATTCTGCTGAGTCTAAAAGAAAATAACCCAGAAGCATTTTATGATTTATACTATTTTAGGGTCTTTCTTTATCATGTTCATCTAAACTTAGAAAGTCTAGGGTCAGTTAATAGACTCTGCACTTTGATTTATTCTATTCTGAGCAAGGAGCATACAAGAATCTGCTGTGTATTTCCAGTGTATTCGGTTACCTTTTGTGATTTCATGACCTTTCTGGGCCTTAGTTTACTGACTCTGTTGTGACTGAATTTGCATCTCCGAGGTTTCTCCTGAATGTGACCCAGTGAAAATGAGCTTGTGCTTCTGAATTAGAGTGATCCACTCATCGCAGCCCAGGTGAATGTTGGATGTTTGCTTCATGGAATTAGAAGATGTTCTCTAGTACTCCCTGAATGAAGAGTACATTCTCCTGTTATTTACCAGACTCACAAACTATACACCTGAGGCGCAGTTTCTTTAGGAAATATAAATCCATAGATTCGCCTATTAATGTTGACCCTTTCTATGCAACTGGGATGCCGTGTGCCCTTGCCTTCGGAGGCCTGGCAGTCCCCAGACAGTGCCCCCGGCTTTAGCACGCAGCACCCTGGCACACCTTCCGCCTGGGGAGCGAGGCACACGCCGCCTTCAGCATCTCCGAGGACCTCGCCGAGCCCACTGCCAGCGCCTTGGGGTCCTGCCTCGGTGCCTTCTGGGTGAGTCAACCTCAAGCTTTCCCTTCTGGGGCTGGGATGTCTCTCGCACAGCGGCCCCGGCAGCTGCCCCCACACCGGGTGCCTCGCTGAACCTCAGCTGAAGCGCAGGCTTCGTCTTTTCCCTTTGCTTCCTGGGCCTTGGGTGCCTCATTCCGTCTTCTGCCGAGGTGAAATCCTTACTCTAACGGTGAAGACGGCACTAGACCACATCGACAAGGTGGCCATCGGTGAGTATTTTAAGTTGTTTTATTGCAAAGGAAATACTTTTTTATTAAAAAATGAAAAACTCTCGTTAGGCTTTAACCAAAGGTTTTGAGTGTGCTTTCCTACCGCCTCATCGACTCTTCGCTTGGTGCTGACTCTCAGGGCTAGAAGGAAGTGGACGGAGCCAGCGAGCCCGGCCGGCGGCTCCCGGAGGTGCTGCCTGTGGGCGCCGCGACTGCTCCGTGGCCGGGCCCAGGCCCCTGGGCAGCTCGTTTTCGCCACTGCCTCATCCTCGCCATGCCCAGAAACGTCAGCAGCGTCTCCTGAATTTAACGGGTTTTCCCGTCAAAAGCTCCATACGCTCGGGTACGCTGGGAAGCCAAAGGGGCTTTCACGGATGGCTCGTAAACGGAATTGTTTTTCCATTTATTTTTAAAATGCAAATTACACTAGTAAGTCAAAAAAATCACTCTGTTAAAAATACATTCAGAATTAACAAATGCAAAAAAAAAAAAAAAAAAGACATCAGGATTGTAACTCTTGCCTTCTGAATATTAGGTTTATAACAAAAGCTCAGCCTAGAAAAATAGCATTCTTCACCAGATTTCGAGGAGGATACAGCTGTACAACTTAGCTGTTTCCAGATGGAGTCACCCTACTGTGCCTACTGCTCCTACAAAAGGTCTGTCCACTGATTACTTGTTAGTAGTCAACAACTGTTTTGAAAGTTTTGGTGGCAATGGAAGTAGTGATTTGGTGGTGTCAGCTGCAACTGAAAGCAGGAGGATGAGGGGTTATTTCTGTACCCACAGACATTTCTGTATGCTATGGTGGGGTCTCTGGTCACATTTATGTACAGTGAAACCTCATGTTAAGAGTCACATTAATAGTCACATTAGGATAGTTTCCGGCATGGATAGTATTTATATCTTAGGAATCAAAGGAAAATACATTGGTAAATATTTTTTCATATATCAAACATGCATGTCACTATAAAAGCATCAAATGAGGTTTCACTGTCTATTGCAGCTGTGGATTTTATACATGTCAGTATGGACAAACATAGACAAGCCACTGAGAAAATTCAAGGGCGAATGCTAGAATCTTTGTTCTCTTGTGGTTTATGTTTCAGTGGTAACTTTTGTTCCCTTATCATGTTCAAGTGTATGTGTGCGGCTATATTATAAACATCCATGCAAACACTGTTATGATGTGGGCCTGCTACATGGAGATCAGAATGGGCAAAGGTCCAAAGCAAGTTAATCCAACAACTGAAACTTCACAGAAACCAAAGAGAGAAGTTGCTCCACGCCAGTTTGTAGCTATCCCGGTCTGAATTTCACCGCACTTAAGTATGGGGTGGAGTTAGCCTGGACACAATGGACTTTAATGGTCTCCAAGAAAAAATACAACTCATCTGAGTTACTGATAAGCTTGAGCTAATTATGTTTTTCACTAATGAAAACCAAATAATGCTTGAAATTATGGAGCAAAATTTCCTAGGAGTTCAGAATATCCCATAAACACATTGACCTACTATTAAGTTTCCAAAGGCATCTTGTTGCCAACTACATTAACAGCACAGTTTTTTCTTTTTTTATCTGCCACGATAATACAGGAGAATTGAAATACACTCTAACACACACCAGATCCCCCAGTACCACAAAGAGATTGCAAATGTTTCACCAAGGTAACTATGGTTCCCCACCCGCCCACCCCAAAAATAATCTC